GAGCTGTAAAATACATACAGTGTGTAGAAGCAGGAGTGTGTGTATGTGTGTGTGTATCTGACTGAGAGTGAGAGAGCGAGCTGTAAAATACATACAGTGTGTACAGGCAGGGGTGTGTGTATCTGACTGAGAGTGAGAGAGTGCTGTAAAATCCACTCCTACTGCACATAATGTTGCTTTTGTAAATTCAAGCTCATTTTACAAACAAGTTACATCACATGTTAAAAGTGTCAAGCAAAGAAACCAACTGGTCTTTGATACTGTAGCCCAAAATCATTCCTCCAAAACATACAAACAGAGAAATGACCACTGCCCACATTTTCTGACCTGTTTACTGAAAACTAGGTCTTTACTCTTTTTTTGTGTAGGTATGTTGGTATATATGCCATCATCTTCGTATATACAGTGGTCACGGAAAATCTTGGGACGCTTTCCTAATTCTGTAAAAACATTGCAAATTAAATTCTGTTCTTGCAATTGTAGCTATTGGCTCCCAAAGGGAAACTAAACACAAATGTTTGGTGTTTTTTGTTATTGCAAAGGTGTTACTAACTGAAAAGCACCCAGTGAGACGACTTGCCACTGAACTTTTGAACTTTAGTTCTTTTATGTGAGGAGGTATTTGAAATACTGCAATTACACTGTCAAGTTACTTCTAGTGACAAAAATGACAGACTATGTTTCCTGAATGACTATGACTATGAACTATAATTTTGTTTTACTTATTACTATTGAAATATATACAGTATATATATATTTATAGTAATATTTGTAAATGGATAAAGTAATGATTTTTGTTACAAAACCAATAAATTAGCAATATTTTACTGTATTAAGCAAGCAAACCACTCTATGTGCAGTTATATATTGTTTTATTTATTCAGCTGCCTCTGTGGATGAGAATGATGGCCAATTGGAAATGGATAGTGAAGGACATCGGAAGACACGGGAAAGTACTGCATATGACAGCATACAGTATAGGCCTACTGGGAGAAATGGGGGGCAAATTCACTCTGGGAGAAATGGCAGATAGCGGGAGACTCAGGCTTGGCGAAAGAAGGAAGCATTACCTGGATCTGGCTGCAGAATTAGGGCCCAGGGCTCCTCCAGCACCGCGTCCGAGGCCAGAGCACTTAGGGCTGAACAGAGATAGAGAGGGAGAGCCATCAGCAGTGGGGACAGAGACAGGGGCACGCACACACACACACACACACATGCACACACACACACACACACACACACACACACACGCAC